CACGTTCTTGATAAATCTCAGGGTGATGCTGATGCTGCTGGTCACCCGGCCAGACTCTGAGTACACCTGCCTGTCCTCAAAGTGAACAAAATGTCGGGCTGAGATATAAGTAATAAACCATAAGCACAGAAAAAGTAAATTGTCTAGTATGGTAGAAGACGAGACTATGGGGACAAAACTGCAAAGAAACCACAGAGGGGAAGTGGAAGTGTGAGGTGACGGAGGGAAAGGCAGTCTGAGATAGGGTGGTCAGGTAAGACCTCTACTGGAAGGTGAGATTTGAGCAGAGACTCGAAGGAGATAAAGGAGATAGTCAAGTGTTTATTTTAATGTTTGGCAAGAACATTCTAGGCAGAAGGAACAGTTATAGCAGAGCTCTAAGATTTCCCGACAGTCACTTGGTACATTTGAGAAGCCGTGAGGCCAATATAACTGGAGCAGAAGGACCCAGGAAAAGGAGAGGTGCTAGAGGTCAGAGGTAAAGACGTTGAGTTGGAGAGCTGACCATGGAAAGACTTCTAATTCCACCCAGTCTGCCGAGTCACTAGTCATTGTCATTGGTTTGATAGCAGTGTTAGGTTGAGTTTATCAGAGATAGATATTCTACCAAAAAACCAGATCTATGTTGTTGATATGCTGAGGCTTCTCCCCACTCCCTCCCTGCACGTCTAGGATTTTACTATTTGGATCACTTATGTTTCTTCCTGCTAAATGTGTTAAACTTAAAACACGCGATGGCTTCTGTCATGCATTTTGGCTATATTTTTCACTTCTTTCAGCTGAGAATCGTTTGTTGCACAAAAGCTCAAAAGACGTCAGTCAGAACCAGAAAAAGAATGAAGCATATTTCATATTTTGGGTCTGGGAAATCTGATTGTTTCTCTTGGAACAGATTGTTCATTATAACAGTATCTATAATAAATGGAGTGCGCTGCGGAGATGGATGGAAATGAAATTAATTTGGCTCAGATGTGATCTTTGTTTTGCTTAGGAGGATTTGAAACATCCGTACAGAGTTTCAAATTTCCATGCAATTTAGAAATAAAAGAGATTTCAAAATGTGGCTGTCTCCCTAGCCAGTGGCTGTCCTTACTTTTCTGTGGCACTATAGAGCAGAGTGGCAAACAGGGACAATTCCACTCATCTACAAGATTAGTGCATGGCTGGATCTTATCAGGACTCTTGTTCAAGACACGCACATCCCAAATAGAAGCATTGCCTAAGAAACTGTTCTTTCCATTGTAGGCTGCCTACCGGATGGGTAACTATGAGTTGGCTAAGAGAGTTTTTGTACCAGTTTGGGATTATTTTGTTGCTTCGCCACTCCAGGATGACCAATCTGTTGTTAGTTTAAGCAACGGAATGACTGTCACACAGAGAAGGTAATTGGAATTGTTCTTCTAAAAGAAAAGATCAATTTGCTTATTAAAAATCTAGATGATGGCTGTGGGGCCTTGAACCAGTTCATCTTCAGTTACATGTTCAGAAAGTTCTGGAGGAAACTATTTCTAATAAGTCCTGTAGTAAAAAGGTGCACTCCCAGGTCTCAGGTCTTTGCTAGAGACATCCTTGCTGGAGGCAGAAAAAAACACTGGCAGCATATGGATGCATTCTGAATACCAGAAAATGAACTACACATGCCCATCAAAGTCGTTTCAGACATACCTGAAAACACGAATGTGCACCGGGGAGTTTTGGGAAAGAGGAAGTTCAGGTTGGGGTTAAGGTTAAGTTCTGACGGGTGGCCTGTTCCCTTGAGAAGGCTTTTTGTTTGCTTGAAGAGGTTTTTAGGATTAGGTCCTTAGTGAGCACCAACAGGTTCATAAAGACACACAACAAGTGAAATCACAGGCCTTCTTGCAGTATTCACTAGCCCTTTTCCTAAAAGGGAGTCCTGAAGTATGCAAGTGATGAACCCACAACTTTAGTTTTGATTTATCAGCCATTGAAAAGGCTATAAAAGACAATTCTGTTTTGACACACATGGTGGCAGTGAGTCGGACTCAGCTCAGGAACTGGTTTGGGGTCCCTTAAGGGAACTAAATCAACATCAGAGGTGAGCATTAAGCATGATTTCAGACTGTCCCAACAAGTTCAAAGACAGCAGCCTTCTCCTCCCTCTCCTTGTTAACATCTGAAAGTCCTTTAAGAAGACCCAGTCTTTCATTCCTCAGGCAGCCCCAATGAGTTTAGAAACGCAAATACTGTATATCCTTAGCACTTCTCTCACACAAAGCGGCCAAGTTCAGCGAGGGAAGTTGTGGAGAAGTGTTTGGGGGCTGAAGAGCCACCATGTAGAAGAGTGCCTGTGACTTCCGTGGGGAAACGAAAGGAGGAAGTCAAAGTTGAATGCGATTTCTAGGGTTACCTTCCTAGGGAGTTCACACGACTTATGGAGGGCCGATGAGCGCAGGAGCAGTTTTGGGAGGAACGTTTCTGAGGTTGAGGTTCCAGCAGAGGCCTCTGGAGAGGATATATCCACTCTCCCTCTCCCTCTCGCTGGCATTGAGTGGATGATGATGGTCAGCCACCCTATAGGTGACAGGGTGACATGCCCCAATGGGCTTCAAAGGCTGTAATGCTGTACGAGGTGGGAAGCTTCACCTTTCTCCTGTGAAGAGGCGGATGGTTTCAACCCCTACGCCAATGTCCAGTAGTAGGTGGGTATTTAGTTTGGTCACTCAGGAAGTGAGGTCAAGACTGGACATTCAGATTTAGAAACTGCCCCCATTGAAATCTTGACAGTGAGTGAGATCGCCAAAGGAGCGATTGCTTAGCAAAGAAGATGAAAAACGAAGCTTGAATTCCAGGCATTGCCGACATTTAAGAGCCAGAGTAGGCAGGAGATGGAACCAAGGAAGGATGTTGAAAAGGAGCGGTCCTGGAGGTCAGAGGAGCACGCTGCCTCCGAAGCCAAGCACAAGGAGAGTCACCTGAAGGGGCCTGAGTTCAGTAAAATATCCGAGTTCAGTAAAATAAATATCTCAGAGAGGCCGGGTGTCTTGAAAACATAAGAAGGGCTCTTTAGAGCTAGCAACGAGGAGGCCCTCGATGAACTCTAGAACCATTTGGCAGCATGATAGGACAGAAACCGAACGCGCTCACCTAGGGAGGAAATGACACGGAAAAACGACCAGAAGCAAAAGCCACCCATGTGACGTTTGGTGGTTAGGGCAGAGGCACTTCGCCGTAGTCTATGAGGAAGGTCGATGCAAGGAGAGGATTAGGGAAGGGACTTGGCGGAAGAGCAGGAGGACAGGAAGGGCTCACGGGGGTGGCGGGGGGGACAGGAGGCGCAGAACGTTGATTGTGAGACGTGTGAGCACGGGCTGTCGGGGGAACGCTGAGCTGCTGCGCTCAGGCCGCAGCTGATGGGGAGCCTCTGAGCTCCGTGTGGTCCAGGGCCATTTTGATTCATCTTTCTATCTCAGGGCCGCGACAGTGGCCGATACAGAGCAGAAGTGCATCGAGTGCTAGTTTGTGGGGCTGGATGTGCAGGATAACTAAGTGCACGAACGCCGTCGCTCGATGAGCGGCTAGGTGCCAACCCAGAGACTGGCTGCACAGCGGCGAAACCTGCGGGCTGCTGCCTCGCCGTGCTTGCCTGTGCCCAGCCCATGGATGCAGCCCGTGCCAGGCCGCCCCCTGGAGGGCCTTCCTTCCTTTCTGCTGCCCCCCACTTTCCCCAGCAGGATGTCCTCCTCCAGGGCCTGGTCCCTCCTTACAGCGTGCCCACAGCACGTGAGACGACGTCTTCCAGTCTCGCCTAATTCCACCCTCCACGGAACATATTTTCGGAAAGTTCAGGAATTTAAGTATTTGGCCTATTTTCCAAGCTTCCCAAGATCGATGATAATTTCCTTATGTTGATAGAAAAAAGCATTTATATACCATCGTAGGACTCACAACTTTTACCGAGTGGGATAGTGGGGATGCATTTGGTTGCTATCCGCAAGGCCAGCAGTTCGAAACCACCAGCTGCCCCTTGGGAGAAAGATAAGGTTTTTTACTCCCGTATACAGTTGTAGTCTCAGACATTCACGGGGGCAGCTCTACTCTGTCCTAGAGGGTTGCTACGAGTCCACATGGACTTGATGGTGGGGAGTTTGGTGTTGGTATGGCAGAAAACATCAGAACCCTAATTTTCTTGATTGTGTATTTGTTGCTAAGAATGATCTTTACTTTTGATTTGAACTCATTGAGCAGTCCCGAGTGTACAAGAGTAACTATTCCACCGAGTTTTGTGGCTGTCTTGGGACCATTATATAGGTATTAGGAGCAAATCAGTCAAAAATACCAAGTTCATGTGCTAAATCATTTTATATTTATACCTATAACGTTATTTACTTCCCTTTGCAGATTATTTCCAGATATTTTGGCTGAAACGTCATCAATCCTTTTATACCTATTCCTTAGGAATATTTTTGTAATAAGTGACATTAAAATCAAAGAAGAAAACCTCTTTTGTGATAACATTAAAGGCAATGAGATGTTCCCCTCTCAACAAGTAAGAAAATGAAACTGATGGAAAATATGCCAGTGTTTCTTTATTTTCTGATGTTTCAGCCTCATGTTCATGCCAGTGTTCACGTTTTTATGTTTGCACTTTACAGTTTTCTTACTTTACCCCATGAACACGTAAGTGATAGATAGTTCCTATATTTGAAATGCTTAACGTACAAAGTAAAAACTCTTAATTTTGGTACTCTTGAAAATGCCATCATTTTGCTTGCATCTGATTTCTCCAGTTTTTCCAGTATAAAAGGACAAATCTGCGTGGTTATCGTCATATATAGCTTTTTTACAAGAAAGGGCTCCGCTCTCTTTGCCGTTTTGTGAGTGGCCTACAAAGCGATGTGCCTGGAGCACGTGTCTTCTGGCTGTGACAGAGCGGTGTGCGTCTGTCTTTCTGATGCCCCTCGGGGCTCCCTGGGTAGCAGCAGACTTTCCACACGTCTCCCTCCTAGCCACAGACTCACAGGGTGGTCCTCAAAAGGGCTAGGCACGTTTCTGCAACCTCGGGATTCTCTGGCTATTCATTTAGTCTTTTACTCTAGTTTGTTCAGGATTATTTCACTCTCTTAATCCCCTTATTTGCCTTAAATCTGAAGGCTTTTTGTCACCTGCTTTCTTACAGTTGCTCCACCTACCCCATTCATCTACTTACTCATAAATTACATGCATTGCTGCCCATAGTTGGCCAATTTCCAGTGTTATGAAGAGGGAAATACATGGTGCTTGGTTGCAAACAATTTCACACCACACACAGTTCAAGATCTAACAAAATCACCCTGTTCCTTCTATACAACATTCCATTTCCGCCTTCTGCAGATCCAATCTGAACATGAACACAATCTTTAAGAATTTCAGTGAATTCCAGTATGTTACAGTACCATTCTAGTAATAACTGGCTATGTGGAAATTCTGATTACTAACTCATATAGTTTTCTTGGTATATAATCTCATATATACTTATAGAAAAGCAGTGAAATCCTTCTCTGGAAAAGGGAAAGGAGGAATAAAAGAGGATCTTTATTCCTTTATGTGATAGTTAATCTCAAAACTTTCGATTCGGTTGCAATTTTTATTTAAGTAGCAGAAGTATCAGTTGCAGAAGATTTATTTACTCTCTTGGAAAGATTCAATTTTCTCACATACCAAAGTGGGAAATAAAAATCTTTCAGTCAAGTGGAGATAATATTTGGGAAATGTTATATTTTAATTTTTTTTTGTTGCAATTTATGTTTTTGAAAACTAGATTTCCCCCCTAACATTAAAATATATTGCAAGTTCATATCAATAAACCAAAAGAGTTTGGTTTCTTTTCAGTTACCAGTGATTTGTGACATTTGTATTGTTTTATAAAAACCTCTGAAGTTTAACTCTAAGATTATGTTATCTACTCCTAGCATCATTATTAGATCCTATTCTGAATCTGGCTTTACTTCTGCCCATCTTTCGGTTGTTATTAAACCACATACATTATGTCCCTTATCTCGTCTTGGAGACATAAAAATTTCAGTTTGAGTAACATGCCTATTCCTTTACAGATTGCTAGACTAATTGAATGTGAAAGAGTATTAGTGGCCTTGGACCTCAGCACCTTTCTAAGTGATTCCAGTTTTGCCCTCCAAGCTGTGACTCAGTGTTATGGCCTCCTTGCTCCCATCATCTATCACAATATTGTTTTGGTACCTGCTGTCCAGGTAAGAGTGCTCCTCCCACCCCGAAGATCAAAGTACTTTTAGAAAAGCAACTCAGTCATGCATTTTGGAAAAGTAAAGCAATGTATCTCTTGCAAGGTGTAAATGGATCAAATGAAGGTGCTATGAAATTTCAGGAGTTTACTGAAAGAAATATTTTAATTTTGTAAATTAGCAGCCTGGGCAAACATAAATAAGGACATACAATAGGTTTATTTGAAAACATTCAGCTCCGCTACAGCCTGCACTTTAATATTGGTCGTCTGCACTGCTAGGATTCTTTTTTATAATAGTTCAATAATATTAATAAGTGTATAACCATCATCACAATTTTAGAACATTTACTTATTTCTTGTATTCATTGTCTTCAGCTCCCCAGATCCTCCTACCTTCCTTGCCATACCCTCCAGGAAATCATCCTTGCAGTCACTGTCTCTATAGCTCTACCCCCGGAATCTTATAGACCTCAAACCACGGACAACAAAATACAGAAAAACAAAACAACCCCTCTCCCCCGCACTCTGCATGATAGCAAGGTTATTCTCACATCCCTGGTCTGTGGGGATTCACTGGGGGCTCAATTCATGTGTGGACCTTTAGAATGGATTTTGGGTTCCCATTGCCCTAGATAGCCTATTGATAATTGGATGTTCACAATATAAGCTCTGACACCATTCCCTCTTTTGGGTTTGGATTTTATCATTCACAGTCCTTGGCCCAATCAATCACACCGCCTGGTGTACTTCTTCCATGTGGCCCCAGTTGATGCCTCACTCAGATGGCTGCTTATCTGAAGACAAGTCTTCGAGGTCCCAGGTGGTATACTTTCTAATAGCTGGGCACCACCTAGTTTCTTTGCCACATTTTGCGGTAACACGGATATCTGCAGTGATCTCTTAATGAGGGTGAACATTAAGCAGTGCCATATAATAAGAAACTAATTGTTCTCAGATTGGGGTTAGAAATAAGTATGAGCCCCCAAACCATTCAAATATCTATAATTTATATATGTCTCTGGTTCACTTTAGAGACGTCCTTATCCTTTATGTTAGAGAACATTATCAATCATGCTCCTGGTCATAAGGCAATTCTATTGATAGTGCCATTAATTTAGTCAATGCTGTAGAATTTACAACATCATTGAGAAAGGACAGTCTACAATTCTAGACCAACTACGAACCTCAACACATGGATTGTTGACTTGTACAGATTAAACAATTAAGTGATTGGACACTTGCAATAAAATTCATTCACAGTGGCAAAACCATGCCTACCACATAAACACATCATAATAAAGCAAGGAGAACATTAAAATAGTAAGTATATGATAGCCTCAGGCCACCAGTCATTGGGCACCCTCAAGGCAAGAGATCTGCACCGACGTCTAATGATCGCCAGGTCTGTCCCCTTGGGACAACCCTCACCTGGGTCTGAAACATTGGTGTTTCCGCCTTAAAAGCGAGGCCTCTGGATGAGTTTGAGGTAAAGCCCAGGTCACTTAATAAGGTTTCCACATCAGCACATTGCTGTCTTAAAAGTCATTTCAAGGTTCTTGTGCTTAAATTAGAAACAGCAGTAGACATCCAAACATAGGGGCAAGACCATCATCTGCCGGAAAAAGCAGTGTATTAAACAAGCCAAAACAGGAAAACACACACACACACACACACACACACACACACACACAACTCCTCCACCACAACCAAGGAGCAGAACAAAATAATGAACAACACTGTGTCCTGGTGCTGGATGAATTGGAATTTAAGAGAAAAGAGTAGGTGAGACCTGGCTGAGGGGTTATATCAGTGGTCTGTGCTTGAAAGAACTAATGTATTATCTTTGTTTTCATGAACGATGGAGCTGGACATTGAGTAGATGGATCTTCTGTCCACGGTCTCACCATGTTCAAATCCTGGTGTTGACTGGGCTGAAATCTCATCTGAGGCGTGGGGTCTTCTTCCACGCTCATCGGTTATTGAAAAAAAATCCGGTCCTTGCGGTTGGACAGAGATAATACGTTAATGCCATCAACAGCCTCTCTAGGATTCTGGTGGGTCTGTTTTCCTAGAGAGACTTAGCAAGTAGAAAGTCAATGGACCAAATGATATCCCCTGTGGCTGAGGCTGCTCTCAGGCAACAGGTAATGTGTATCCTCTCCTTCTTCTATTGCTCGTTCTGGTTTCCTTTGCACCCAGCTAGCGTGTCTGCTGGTTAAGGTGTCTCTCCACCATTTGTGAGGGCATCTCAGGTAATCATCTCTGAGGTGTCGGAGCCTCTTGTTTTCTGTTCTCCTCAGGCCACGGCTTTTGCCCAGGCTCTACTAGTCAACATTAGATCGGGAAGGACCTCGGCTTTGGGTCAAGATGCAGTATAAGGGAACCTCTTGGTTCCTGGACCCATCTATTCTACCTGCGGGGGAGACTGGCGCACATGTTCTTTGATGTAGAGTGGACATTATGCCTTGCAGGGTGGTATCTCCTACTCGCTGGGCTTCACCTCCATGCTGGTGCTTCCATGGCCCCTATTGCAGCGCAGTATGCAGAAGGCGGTTTGCTGCAGCGTTCTTGGTGGTGGCCAAAAAGAGAGAGGGAAAGTCCAGCCACAGAGGAACAGCCAGCACTGCTGTCTGACACAGCTCCAGCTATAAAATTGTGCAGTGCATGGCTGAATAAATGATGGTTTATTTGCATGAAAATATAGCCATTAAAAATAATAGGATAGAGCTACACCTGTACACATGGAAAGCTATTTCACAAGACATGGTTGAAGGAGAAATGCGCAGTTCAGAAAAAGTGTGCATAAATCCCATTTTGTAACATAATAAACCTCTTTCTACTTGGGTATGTATTTATACATATGTATATAATCCTATGAGCCTGGAGAAAACTACAAAGTACTGTGTTGCTAACCTGAGTTGGAAATATGGTCTGTCAGGGGAGTGATATAGGTGAGGAAGTAAGAAAGGCATTAAAAATACTAGTAAGTGAACTGTGACACTAGTAACAATATTGTTAGAATGGTAGTTCAAAGCAATTAATGTGCCTGAAAATGACCAACACCCATTTGTCTCTTGGAATAATCTGATTATGAATAGATTGCTCAAATCCCATCTATACTTTTCTGACAGTAATATTGCTCAGAACTGTGCATAGTATTGAATGCTAAATTTAATAAATTTAATTGTATAGCTCTTGATCAAATGTAGGAACATATCCTATGAAGCAAAGCAAATAGGAGATAAATGCCAATATTAACTGATTTCCTGGGCTATGGATATTGGGTTTTAACTCTAGAGGAAACTGTTATTTCCAGTACCTGGCACCACAGTGCGGTATTTAATATAGTGCATCCTCCTCTGTCTGGATTTTCAACGTCTTCTCAAGCTTGGATGTGATCTTTAGAACCTTGTGTCTACAGAGCATTCTCACTGAGGGATCCTGCCCACATCTGGATGGGTCCTAAGGGACGATTGTGTAATTGAAGGGAAGAAATTAAGAGGCTGACAAAGATTTGGGGTGCTCACCTCCATGGTGTCAGGCACCAGGTTCCAGTAGCAGTAGGAGAGAGAGGATGCATTCTTGACATCAGCTTATATAGTCTCAGGGCATGCAAGCTCCCTTAATTATAGATTACCACATAAGGAGCAAAGTGGGCAGTACCTTAACCCTAGAGGTCCCTACGTTCATTGGAGGAATAACCTGACACCAGTGCTGGGGGCAGGTAAGGGGGAGTGACTGTCCCCTGAGCAGGGAGAGCAATAGCAACATGTCTACTCCTGTAGATAAAGCAGCCAGCCAGATAGCAATCAGTCATGTACTTGTAAGAGGTAACATTCAGGTAGCATTATTATGGGAGGATATTGTGGGGATTAATTTTAGTTAAGAGAATGTGAGTGGGACTCATCTGTAACTCACAAGTGTGAAGAGTTCCCTCCACCCATAACCCTGGCTTCCCAGGCTTTTAAATATGAGAATAAAGAACTTGTCTGCATACACTCTCTTCCTGTTCCTTGGTTTCCCACATCTGACTTTGTCTTTTATGCCATTTGTAAAACTGTGCTGTTTTATTGTCCTTTGTGTCCTTATTTTTATCTTCTTTCAATTTTAAGTTACTTTAGATGGAGGACTCCTTTGCAAGTTGAATATATTAAATTGACCTCAGACTATTTTTTATAATAATAATAGTGGTCTTTGATGTTCTAAACCTGCAGGATTTGAATAGCGTGCTTTCAAATGAGAAATGATATTTTAAACCAGAAATCATTGTTTCTATTTTTTAGATCTTGATAAAGTGCATAGTGGTGTTGCAAGGACTACCGACCATTGGCTTCTCAAAGAAACATACTTTCAGCTTTGAGAGTGTGCAGCACATGATAGCTTGTTGCATCTTCTACACCACAAAGGTATTTACCGCAGACTTGATCTGTCACTCTCCCCAGGCCATGCCCCTTCGTAGCCAATCTAGCTGATTCCTAGTCCCAGAGAAGCCTCATTTTGTATCACAACATTTAAGAGCAGGTATGATTCAGATAGTTTAGTTTCTTTCAACCCTAGTAATTAAAACCCTGAATAAACATAGAATGCTTTTCAGACCAAAAGAAACGTAAAGTTTAAATATTACAGACTAATAATGTGTTAAAGATTGTTGGATGATATTGTCATGTTTTTCCCAGCTAACATTTTATATGATTGAAATAGCGACTGTATATTTTTATAGGGAGTATATATGGCCACTGTGGTGGTGCAGTGGGTTAAGCATTGGGCTGATTAAGTACAAGACTGGCAGTTCAAGCCCACCAGCAGTTCCTTGGGAGAAAGATGAGGCTGTCTGCTTTCATAAAGATTTACAATCTCAGATACCGGAAGGAGCACTTGTACTCAGTCTTATGTGGTTGCTGTGAGTCAGGATCCACTCAGTGGCAATGGTTTTGGCTATCGTCACACAGAACTTTTATTTTTAAACCCTTAACCATCAATTTCGTATTTGTTTGGCTGCTCTTAACCTGGGTATCATCTTGTGAGGCTGTGATGGTAGTGGGAATTGCAGGTAGAACCCAAGTATCCTAACCGAGGAGTTGCTTGTGGACAGTGGAGCTTAGAAGATAACAGGAGACTAAGTGCAGAGTTATGATGGGAAGGTTAGTCAGTAAAGGAGCGATGGGCGAATCCCTTGCTCTGAGAAGGTGAAAGTGATGTCCAAAAGCGGGTAGACCAGGCATAGAACCTAAGGGTGGTTTTCCAATCAGAGCACAGAGCTCTGCACCAACTGGAAGGCAAGTAGTCAAGGTCAGGTGGAAGTGCAGTCAAGATGTGCACAAAGTGTGTTTTGAGCCCCTATAAGATCAGAGTGTACGTAAACCTGAACCCAACCTTCTGCCACCAAGTATGTCCCAACTCAGGGGGAACCCAGGGGACAAAGGAGAACTTCCCCAGAGGGTTTCCCAGGCTGTGGATCTTTACCAAAACAAGTCTGCCACGTCTTTCTTCAAAGGAATGGCTGGTGCAGTTGAACCACAGAACTTTTGATTAGCCATGTACTTTTAACCACTGCTGCTTCTTTGTGTATGTTTGTGTGGTTCGGTGCCATCGAGTTGGTTCCGACTCATAGTGACCCTGTCGATGCACAACAGAACGAAACACCGCCTAGTCTTGGGCCATGCTCACAGTTGTTTTATGTGAGCGCAATATTGCAGCCACGGTGCCAACCCACCTTGCCGGGGCCTTCCTCCTTTCCCTCCCCTCCACTTTCCCAACTGGATGGCCTTCTCCAGGGGCTGATCTCTCCATCCTTGCCTCAAAGGCATATTCTGGCTACGTTAGTTCTTTTGGCAGTCTATGGTACTTTCAGTAGTTTTCATCAACCTTTCTCTCTCTCTCTCCATATATATATATATATATGTATTTGAGACACTTGGAATTCAAATCATATAAGAGCAACTGAGGGTGGTTGTTTCCAAACCACAAGTGGACACAATAGTCACGTAGGTTCTGGTGTTTCCAGAAATCAGGCATAAGCGATTAGAGCAGTGGTTCTCCACCTTCCTAATGCCACGACCCTTTAATACAGTTCCTCATGTTGTGGTGACCCCTGTATGTGGGTGGACCCACCTGGAGATGGGTAGAGGAGCGGTGTCTCGGTTCCTAAGACCATCAGAAATATGGTGTTATGCGTCCCCTGTCAAAGGGTCGTTCAGGCCCCAGGTTGAGAACCGCTGGATTAGAGGCTTTGGCGAAGGGCCTACTGATGGGTTCAGGGCTGGTAGCTAGTCAGACCCATCAGGTCTGGATAACAAGGGAATGAATACGGGGGAATGGAGAGATTGGCCACCGAGAGATTGGCCATTCATGTCTGAGTTTCACCACTGAAGGACAGTAAGGAGGCACAAGTTGGTAAGCAAGGTTGGCCTTGATGCTGAACTGCTTTTTTTTTTTTTTAAGGAAGGAGGGAGAAATCTGAGCTCCTGGATTGCTTTCTTTTTTAACACAAGTGTGAAGTACTCTATTAATATCATCATTTTATCATTCCTAAATCAATAAACTTTTGTTTAAAAAGTGTAAATATAAGTTAAGAGTGGAGAGAAGGAATTCTATGACAAGATTTCTGCCCTTAAGGAGTTTATAATCTAGTTAGGGAAACAGAACATAAACTAATATTTCATTTTTATTTCTCATTTATTCAACAGATGCTTATTGATTACCTATTTTGTGCTCACTAATGTTATGGGCACTTGGCATATGCACAAAAGTCTTCTTTACTGTAGAAGTGTGTATATGACAGTGTGTAGGGAAACAAGAGTATACAATGTGGACACTCAGATTTCTAGCTTGGGTGATGGGTGGAAGGTACCCCAGAACATAGGGATGCAGGAAGATCATTCAGGGCAGGGGCAGTTGGTGAAACCTCATCTAGGAGATGAGACGTATGACATACTCCACATGTGAAAAATTCAGATGCCTACTGGGGCCAAGGGGCTGCAATGATCTGTGCATTGGTTGGATCTAAAATTAAGGTTTTTTGGATCCTGAGACGAAATGGAAAGTTACCTGTAGACATTTGGAGAGAAGCTCCTCCACCTATAGGTATTTAAATTCATTGCAAAATAAAGGCCTACTTCATTACAAGCTGTTTAGACTGGTCCATTCGTTCAGGCAATGTGAAGTCAGTACTGACTCTGACAAGTACTGTTCTAGGCCCTGAGGATTACTTTCCTGATCCCCCAGGGCTTATGGGTGAGGAGGAGACCGACAGCAAACACAGGCACATACTTTCATGAAGCTATACGTGTTATAAACAAAAGGCAGTTAATAGCAGTTCGGACGCATGGGACAAAGAATCGAACTTTACCCAAATGATTTGGTCTTTGATCTTGGTTCCTGAGAGAGAATCTCTAGAGCAGTGGTCACCTCCACCTTCCTCATGCTGCGACCCTTTCATACAGTTCCTCATGTGGTGGTGACCCTCAACCATAAAATTATTTCATTGCTTCTTCATAACTGTCATTTTGCTACTGTGATGAATCGGGCGACCCCTGTGAAAGGGTCGTTCAACCCCCAAAGGGGTTGCGACCCACAGGTTGAGAACTGCTCTTCCAGAGCCTTGCAATTTCCTTAAGAATGACGTGTCTTTGAGAAGGGTTTCTGATCACACCTGTGGGTTGACGCTGAATGCTACCACCTGCCTCATCAGGCGCATCAACACTACTGAGTGTTATCAGCCTACTTCAGGGAGGGGCGGAACAGGTCTACGTACTGCGGACTCTGCAAGTCAGAATCACCTGGACAGTACTGAGTCGAGTATGTAACGAGGCTCCCGTAAAACCTCAGGATGGACATTCCCAGGGCTTCTGCTCAGTGAAAACTGCATGTGCATGGGAGGGGAGCATGTCCTTTGGGACATGAACATTTTACATCCCAAACCTTGTCTTTTGTGTCTCTTCATTTGTACCTTTTCTTCCTATACTAAAACTGTAGTTCTAGTCGTAAGTGTAGTAGCACTTTTAAGTTCTGGGAGTCTTTCCAGTGACTTGTTGAACCCAATGGAGCAGCGGGAGCCAGCAGGTCAGATGTGATGGGGGGCTCTGGGGTCCTGTGAGACCTGACTTAGCACTGTGTGGAGAGGGTTAGAGCAGTGTTTCCCAAAGTGGACAATTCCTGCCTCCCCCTGCCGCCCCCCACCCCCACCCCATGGTGGGTGCTGGAGTGATCCAGGCAGCTGCAAAAGTAGATACATACACTTTATCCTGGATTATGGGCTCTCGTCCAAAATATTTTAATTTCCAGGGACACTGAGTAGCTAGTTTTCAGAAAAGGGGGTGGTAGGCCAAATCAGCAGGGGCACCTATGGATCAGAGGATGTAGTGCATTTTCAAGTGGTGTTAGAACAAAAGGGGAACAGAGGAAAGCTGAAGTGATCATAAATCGATTTGGATTAATCAATAATTCTGTGTCAGAGAACTGAGATTTGCTTTTCCCCACACACAAGTGAAGAGAGAATTATGGGGGTGGGGTGAGGTTGGAGGGTGTTGGGTCTGCTTGGCACAGAATCATCGCTGGTGCAAGAGAAGGAGCAGACCTGAGACAGATGGAGATGGGGGGGGGGATGGTGTGAGCAAATGTACTTAGTGACACACAGTTATTTTAGCCTGCACCAAACGCACTGCCCGAGTTGATTTCAATACGTACGTAGTGGACCCATGGGGCAGGGTAGAAACCCACTGAATAAACAAATTTGATGGAAAAGTTAAAAGAGGATGATTATGGTATATTTGATATTTCCATCTAGGGTAGAATTACATAAAGATGGGAAATATAGAAGGCAGATACAAAAACTATCACAAGAAAATAACAAGCATGTAGTGAAACTAAGCAAGTAGAGATAGTCCTAGGCACCTGTTAGTGAAGAGCTTGAGTTCCAAGGATAAAGATAAGTCGTAAAGTTCTAAGTTGAAAAAAACAGGTTATTTACAATGGAAATAGAATCAATTAGCTTCAAACTTTTTGTCAGCAGAATTAATTGTTCAAAGATGAACACCATTCGTAGAATCCTGAGGGGAAAAGACTGATGTCTAATAACCAGAAAAGATAGCCTTCATCTGTCAAGGCAAAATAAACATTTTCGGAAGTGCAAGCATTCGCGAAGCATTCTTCCCACGTCCTCACCTGAGGAAAACGCTTGAGGAAAGACTCCGTGAAATGACAATGGATTCAGAACAGAACTCCCAAGACAGGGACAGACAAAAGCAGAGAAATAATGGAGGCAGTGCATCTTGCAGTCTACGTGTTAATAAAATTAAATGGATAATAATGATGCGACTGGGATTTTGTAATATGAATGCTAAGCAGGAATTCTTGAACTAGAGGAGACATCCTGGAAATAAAAACATATTAGTAACGTGGAAGTCAA